CCGAAGGCGACTCAGGGCGCCATACAGACCGGCAACAATTAGATGCCACATATATATCCATATATCAGTTAAAAGCAATTAAAACACATCATAAAATCCATATAAAAATCATAGAAGCTATAAAAAGTATTAAAAAAATCTATAACAAACAATGTCTTCCAGTCCAATTCCTCATCCGTTTACATCGTCTTAGTCATTCCGTGTTCATATTCCAATCTTGTGTTTATCTGGTGATGCTGAAGTTCCAAACGCTTGTTCGAAGAGCCAGGTTTTCACTCTTTTCCGACAGGTCAGGAGGGAGGGGGGCTGATCTAATATCCCTGGGAAGGGAGTTCCACAGCTGGTGGGCCACCAATGAGAAGGCCCTGTCTCTCGTCCCTGCCAAATGCGCCTGTGAGGCAGGTGAGATCAAGAGCAGGGCCTCCCCAAATTTCTAGAAGGTTCACAGGGAGATGTGTTTGGATAGGTTAGCTGGGCCGGAACCATTTAGGGCTTTATAGTTAAAGGGGAGTCAAGTAGCATTAATCCCTTGCTGTAGATGCACAGATAACCAATATTTTAAAAAGTTCTGCCTGAGTATAATTTAATTTCAAAGTAAGCCCCTTTAGTTTTCAACAATTCTTTCAGACAGCAAAATGAAACAAGCTTAAATTCCTTCCTAGTAGAGTTGATACTGCTTTGAGTCTCCTTATGGAGAAAAAAAAGAGGGAAATAAATAAACATGAACATTAATAGTAATATAATAGTAATAATATAAGATTATTATTATTATTATTATTATTATTATTATTATTAATAATATTATTATAAATTAAAATTATTATTATTATTAATAATAATAATCTTATATTATTATTATTATTATTATTAATAATAATAATAATAATAATAATAATAATGTGTTTTGGAATACAATACACCAGACATCATGATTGTGGAAAAGAAAGAAGTTTGGATTATTGATGTCGCCATACCGGGTGACAGTCGCATTGAGGAAAAACAACAGGAATATCTCAGCCATTATCAGGACCTCAAAATCGAACTGCAAAGGCTCTGGCATAAACCAAAATCACGATCTGTCAACTGCAAAAGGCCACCTTACTTGGATCTGCGCGCATCATTCGAAAATACATCACATAGTCCTAGATGCTTGGGAAGTGTTCAGCTTGTGATTTTGTGATATGAAATCCAGCATATATATCTCATTTGCTGTGACATACTGTGTTTTTGTGTCAGTAAAATAATAATAATAATAATAATAATAATAATAATAATAATATCCTGTCCTTTTTCCCTTAATGTCTCTGTTAGTAATGCCTGTCCTTGAAGGAGGAAAAAATCATAGCTCTTCATCTGATACCCTTTCTTGCTTGGCAATTAAGTTACTTCTCCAATGTTTCATTTAAATACTTGGTTAATATTTAATTGTTAAAATAGTAAAAAATATTTGTTATCCTTTTTTTAAAAAAAAACAACAACACAGGTTATTTTTATACATAGCACACCCAGCACAGGCTCTAATTTCTATAAATCACACATTCACAATCACAAATGACAAAGTTAGCATTTTTGATGCTATATCCGAAGATGAAACAGCAAAGTTTCATCCATTCAGATTTGACGGTACTGAATGAAAAGCTCAAACTATCACCATCACACAACTGCTCATTTGCTTCCTTTCAGAAAGGAAACACATAGTTAGTAACTCCTGATCATCAGCTGTGATAAATATGTCCCTTTCATTGTAAATTACTGAAAATTGTAACGGCATAGTTGAATTGGAGGCAGAAGTTTAAAACCCTACATGAAACAGAGAGCTCATCTCTAGCTTTACTTTCTTGGACTGTGGAACAATCCAGGATAAAGTTAAAATGCAAAATTGAAACATGTATTTCTATTTTCACAGTGAAAATGTTGAAATTGTAAAGCAATTGATAGGTGTGTTACTCCCACAAACTTTGAATACAACACAGTTAAAGTCCACTATGAAAATCCCATGCATTTCAATTGAAGAACGCATTAAAGGCAGATATTTGTTGGTCCATTATCCACAGTCATAAGGCCTATTTTTGTATGTAGGTTTTTAACATCATAACTGCTCATAGCTATGTATTTTTTAAGAAGAACAATATAGGTAGGAATAATTTATTTGCAGTTTCTTTAGTTGTGATCTGTACAAACCAAGACAATGTTTTGTGAAAACTTTGTTTATAAGCAGGCTAATGTTTTGGGAGACCTCTGATTGTCCTTTATGTTATTTGAGATCTATATAAAACCACCGGGGAAGCTGCCCAGAAATGTGAGGTGCTGAGCAGAATGCGCATGACAGGTAATTTGAATCTGTCTTTCTTTTCCTTGTGTGTTTGTTTTCCAGGAAAATTCCCAGGATGAGCACTAAGAAACCAAAGCTTCATCCAGACTAAACAAAAATCATCCTGGTGAAAAGCCAAAGTTTCCTGATAGATTTTGGATGGATCCCATCTGCTGCCTAAAAACATTGGCTTTCAAATTATTTATACTGATCTTAAATAGTTTTATGAATAAGCATTTTTCTGCTGTTGCAACTATCTTAGGCTCGACTGACTTCTGTTTTTATTTGTATAACTGATTGTGTGTGTGCCTGTTTGTGGCTTCAAGTCACCTGTTGATATACGGCAACCCAATAAACTTCCTATGGATTTCTTAGGCAAGGAATTCTCTGAAGCATTTGCCAATTCCTTCCCTTAAAATATAACCTACAAATTGAGTTGCCAAAGGCTTTCATGGCCAGAATCACTGGGTTGCTGTGAGTTTCTTGGGCTGTCTGGCCATGTTCCAGAAGCATTCTCTCCTGACGTTTCACCCACATTTATGACAGACATCCTCAGAGGTTGTGAGGTCTATTGGAAACTAGGCAAGTGTGGTTTATATATCTGTGGGATGTCCAGGGTGGGAGAAAGAACTCTTGTCTGCTTGAGGAAAGTGTGAATGTTACCATTGGCCAGCTTCATTAATATTGAATAGCCTTGCAACTTCAAAGCCTGGCTGACTTCTCTGGTTGAATTAGTCTGCAGTGCCTCCCAGACAGGGATCCTTTGTTGGGAGGTGTTAGCTGGTCCTGATTGTTTCCTGAATGGGAACAAAATCTGGCTACCAGTATTTAAAAAACTCTAAAATCAGGATAGTAAATAAAGAAAAACATTTGGAAACAGGGGAATTCCAGACAAGAAAGAGTCAGGGCCAGCTAACACCTCCCAACAAAGGATTCCCTCAGGAAGTAGCCAGCCTTTGAAGCTGCAAGACCATTCAGTGCTAATCAAGGTGACCAATTGCAACATTCACACTTGCTTCAAACAGACAAGAGTTCTTCTCATCACCCTGGACATTACACAGATATGTAAATCTCATTTGCCTACTTTCCAACTGACTTCACAACCTCTGAGGATGCCTGTCATAGATGTGGGTGAAATGTCAGGAGATAATGCTTCGGGAACATGGCCACACAGCACGGAAAACTCACAGCAACGCAGCCTACAGATTAATGAAAAAATCGTAATTTTTTTTTTCAGAAAAACATTTTCTTGCAGTAAACAACACTTAAAGAAATATAAAATAATGTGCTTTCCAGAAATCATGTAGATTTTTTGTGGCACAGTACAGCTTTCAATAGTCCTATAGTATGTGTTATTAGGGGACTACAGTGACCTTTCAGTATCCAATGAGGTTTGTTCCAGGACTCTGCCCTCCATAGACAACAAAATCTGTGGATGCTCAAGTCCCATTATATGAAGTAGCTTAATAAAATGGTCCACCTTAAATAATAATAATAATAATAATAATAATAATAATAATAATTTAAAAACAAAGTATGGATTGTTGATGTTGCAATCCCAGGTGACAGCAGGATTGAAGAGAAACAACTGGAAAAGCTGACACAATATGAGGATTTAAAGATTGAACTGCAAGACTCTGGCAAAAGCCAGTAAAGGTGGTCCCAGTGGTGATTGCCACACTGGGTGCAGTGCCTAAAGACCTTGGCCTGCACTTAGACACAATCGGCGCTGACAAAATTACCATCTGCCAGCTGCAGAAGGCCACCTTACAGGGAACTGCACACATTATTCGCCGATACATCACACAGTCCTAGACACTTGGGAAGTGTCCGACGTGAGCTGTGGACTCATCTTGTTGTGTTTCAAATAATAATAATAATAATAATAATAATAATAATAATAATTCTTACCCATCTCTCCTCATGGCTTGAGGCAGGTTACAGATTTTTTTTTGTCGTGTCAGGAGCGACTTGAGAAACTGCAAGTCGCTTCTGGTGGGAGAGAATTGGCTGTCTGCAAGGACGTTGCCCTGGGGACGCCCGGATGATTTGATGTTTTTATCATCGTTGTGGGAGGCTTCTTTTGTGTCTCCGCATGAGGAGCTGGAGCTGATAGAGGGAGCTCATCCGCCTCTCCCCGGATTCGAACCTGTGACCTGTCGGTCTTCAGTCCTGCCGGCACAGGGGTTTAACCCACTGTGCCACTGAGGCCTCCAGGTTACAGAAAAATTGAGGCAAAATCGAGGTTTGCTTTTTGGACCTTTTTAAACAATAGCTTCAAGCTGGGGATTGTTGAAACCACAGATACAAAATCTGTGGATGAGGGGAGAGCTGACTATAAATGAGTTTGCAACACTGATATGGCACAGGAAGAATTAAATGTGCCATCAAAATTAATAATTATAAATTTCTAAGTCAAACCTATAAAATTTGTTTCCAATGTATAGAACAATCCCCAGAAATGTACTTTTTAATTCTGTAACATATTCAAAATAGAGAAATACAAGAAAAGAATGTATGTGTAGTAACAATGAGTTTGAAAACACAGAAAAATATTGAAATATGTAAATTATGTAGTCTAATGAGGAGTACCTTTACACATTTAGGCAAAAGACACTTTTCTTATAATAGACATTGATTTTCTTTAAACTAAGCAAAGAAAAAAAAAACAACAAATTTTCCCACTTACATTTCTCAAGGTGCCTCTGCTTTCAGGGACTACTTTGGAATAAACTCCGAGTCTAAAGAGCACTCATATATGCCACAGAGACGGAAGAAAAAGTCGATGTCATTTAAAAATGACTAATCAATCATTAAACCCACCTATTCCCATTTGCAACTTTCTCTTTTATAGGGTTTCATGAATGGTTAATCATTAATCTCATCTTTTTGTTGGGTGAGATCAATCAATATTTTGTAAATCAGCATCACCAAAACACGAGGAAACACCTTACAAGAAAAAATATTTACTGTTGTCCAGTCCATAAATCCTATAAAGATGTCATTCTGAATCATAGTTGTTTACTTTGGCCCCGATTCTCACTGTAATTCACCTTCTTCTAAAAGTATCTATTTCCTGCAAGCATTACAATAGAAGTCTCACATTTCATCATTAAACTTTAAGTCGATGGTAGTTATGATAAAATTATTAAAATTACCAACACTAATTAAAATGACTTTCAAATGCAAGAGGTAGGTGAACTTATACATTGGTGAACATTATAAAATTGCAGGTGCCATGAATCTGATTAAAATAATTATAAATAGCTAGTCAAAAATTTATATGTGAACCAGATGAACAGCACTGCCCTTAAAACCACTTGGATCCCAGAAAGATGCCAAAACAATTAAAAGTACACTGATACCTTGGCTTAAGAGTTTAATTTGTTCCATTGCAAATCTCTTAACTCGCAACTCAAAAAGCTCTCATCTCAAAGTGTATTTTCTCATCGAAATGCTATTAATCCGTTCCATTCCACTGAACTCCCCTCCTATGATTTTGTTGTGTTTTTAAATAAGAAAATGTACTTTATAAATAAAAATATATAAATGCACATTCACATGGAACAAAAAAAAAGAAAGATCAACATTCAAATGATAGAAGCACAAAGTTGTGGCAAGGAAGCACAAAGTGAAGAGGCAAAATCATGGTTTTCTTCATACTGCACTCATCCCAGCCTCCCTCCCTCTCTTGCTCTCTCTCCCTCCCTCTCTCTCTTCATGAAGCCAAACATACCAGGAATAAAAACTACACAATATCAACTAACCCAAAGTTTCTCAAAGTGAACAAGAGCGAAGTTGACAGCAGTTCCCAAAGCAGAAGAGCAAGGTGGAGAGGAATCGCCCAAAGCGGACATGAGCATGAGGCACAGGCATTACTTGTACTCTTGCACTAGCATTACTTCTGGTGCTAACTCTTAACTCAAATGTCAAAGCAGAACCTGGGCTGAGCAGCAACTCTTAACTCAAGGTGCTCTTGTTGGGATCCTCTTAAGTCAAGGTTCCACTATATTTAGCAAAATGATTGAAAATGGGTATTTGTATGAATCAAGCTCAGGTTTTCTGCCTTTATTTCAGCTGTCACCATTAGATTTTTTAAAGCATGTCCTGTTGATACAAATAAAAGGTAAAGATTTCCCCTGACATTAAGTCTAGTCGTGTCCAACACTGGGGGGGGGTGTGTGTGTGTGTGTGTGATCATCTCCATTTCTAAGCCAAAGAGCTGGCATTGTTTGTAGACACCTCCAAAGTCATGTGGCCAGAAGCGGTACCTTCCCACAGAAGCGGTACCTATTGATCTACTCATACTTGCATGTTTTCGAACTATTAGGTTGGTAGAAGCTGGGGCTAACATCAGGAGCTCACCCCGCTCCCTCAATTTAAACCGTCAACCTTTCGGTCAGCAAGTTCAGTAGCTCAGCAGTTTAACCCACTGTGCCCATTGATAACAATAAAGGAGGCTTATTAATAACTTTGAAAATGTAATTAAATTAGATGACAAAGGTAATGTTCTTTAATTTCCAAATGGTCAAAGTCAAGAGTGGTGCAATGGTTTGAGCATGACTCTTAAGGACCTCATCAGAATGGTCAGGTGAAGTGTCCCGCTTCACCTGGTTATGCCAAGAAAAGAGAGGGGCAACGGGTTGAATTCATCACCCTATGCGCAACTCCCTTTCAGTGATGCTTTTCCCATTACATCCTTTGGAGCTAGCACAACACGGAAAGCATTCCATGTTGTGGAGAAAGCATCCAGCAACACTTTCAGCCTGGTTGTGGGTAAGGCATCCGCCGAAAGTCACACAACATTGTGTGATAGTCAGTGTGGAGCTCTGTCCATTAGATGGGTGAAAGCATCCTAGGACACTTAATTCCACCCAGTCCTAAGATTTACAAGACAGGTACAAATTCCCGCTCAGTCATGGAAGCCCATTGGATGAACTTCAGCAAGACAAATTCTCTCAGTCTCAAAGGAAAGCCATGGCAAACCCCTTTGTACAAATCTAGCCAGGTTCATTTCAGGATAGCCATAAGTCAGAAGCAACCTGAAGGCATTTACACCAACAAATGATGGGTGGAAATTATCGTTCCTTTTTTATTGCCTCCCTCTCCACATTTGTGTTTACATTCTTTAGCGAGTATAGAAGCCTAATAGATGTTAAAGTCAACAATTAAAGATGGATATAGGCTCTTTCTCTATGTTTTCATAGAATTGTAAGAGATTGTTGGGGATAACAAATTCAATCCACTTACTTATATGAACCCACTGCTACCCCTCAGAGGTAACCAGTGAACCCAACACATTTGGTTGATTTCACTGCCAAACAGCACTTACTGTTACAAAAGTCTTCCCTCTTTTGATTGCAGTCACCTTTCTTGTAGTTTGAATCCATTGCTTTCAGTCTGATCCTCTTGAGCAACAGAAAGCAACTTTGCTTCCTCTTCTACATGACAGTCCTTTGATTATTTAAAGATAGCCATCATATTGCCTCAGCCTCTCCCTCAAACATTTATCGTAAGGCTTGATGACCAGATCTCTGGATACATTACATCGTACCGATAAGCATATTAAACTTGAAGTACAGAATTTTGGATATAGTCTGACCACAGAATAATACAATGGTAGAACAGAGTACTATTACTTCCCTTGCTCTGTTGATGCAGCCTAGAATGAATTATGGAATGGTATTAGGTTTGTCAATTTGTTTGTTTGGTTGCTTGAGATCCTATCTTTCTCCCAAAATGAGTCCCAAAGTAGCTGCCCCATGACATTGGTTTTTGCTGTCATATCGTCTGGTTAATAACACTAATAATAATAACACTTTATTTATATTTTGCTCTATCTCCCCGAGGGGACTCATAGCAGATTACAACATACACAGATAGACAAACATTCAATGCTTTTAATACAGTGGAATAACAATGACATACAAATACACAGAACAAAGGTAAAAACTTCCACTTTTATCTCTGGCTTTCTGGAGGTGGTGCTCAATTCTGGCCATGGGGAGGTGCTCTTGTTCCATTTCCAAGCTGAGGAGCCTGTTGTACGTAAAGACCTCCTGGTCGTGCTGCTGGCATGGCTGCATGGGCACCTTTATTATCTTCCCACCAAAACAGTACCTATTGATCTACTCACATTTGCATGTTTTCAAACAGCTTGGGTGTGATCCTGGACTCATTGTTGAGCCTGGGGCCCCAGGTTTTGGCGGTGACCAGGGGAGCATTTGCACAGTTAAAGCTTGTGCGCCAGCTGTGCTTGTACCTTGGGAAGTCTGGCTTGGTCACTGTGGGCCATGCTCTGGTTACATCCCGTATAGACTACTGCAATGCACTCTATGTGGGGTTGCCTTTGAAAACTGTTCAGAAGCTTCAAATGGTCCAATGGGCAGTAGTCAGGTTACTAACGGGAGCCACACTCAGAGAGCATACAACTCCTCTGCTGTGCCAACTCCACTGACTGCCAGTTTGCTACCGGGCACAATTCAAAGTGCTGGCTTTAGCCTATAAAGCCCTAAATGGTTTCGGCCCAGTTTACCTATCTGAACGTATCTCTCCTTATGAACCATCATCTGGGGAAGCCCTGCTGTCGATCCTGTCTCCCTGGCAAGCATGGCTGGTGGGAACGAGGGACAGGACCTTCTCAGTAGTGGCCCCTTGGCTGTGGAACTCACTTCCTAGAGATATTATATCGGCTCCTCCCTCCTGACCTTCAGGAAAAGAGTAAAAACTTGGCTTTTTGAACAAGCATTTGAAAATGCAGCGGAATAAATAATTATGAAATAGGAAGAATGAACATGGAATGGCTAAATGATGCTGTTGGATAATGATTTTAACAGGACGACATTGGTAATTATATGTTTTTAATGGTTTTAAATGGTGTTTTATAATATTAGATTGAATGTTTTAACTGTATTTTTATGAATGTATGGCATCAAATTCTGCCAATTCTGTAAGCTGCCTTGAGTCACTGTAAGGCTGAGAAAGTCAGGCTACATATGCCGTAAATAAATAAATAAATAAATAAATAGGTTGGCAGGAGTTAGGCCTAACAGTGTGGGCTCAACCTGCCCCGTGGCTTCAAACTGCCGGCCTTTAGGTCAGCAGAATCAACAGTTCAATAGTTTAACCTATTGCACCACCATGGCCCCATATTAATTAAGCTTGTGGTCTGTCAAAATCATTCTGATTTTTCACATGTATTGCTGGCAAGATGTAACCCAGATTAATGTTTGCAGATTCATTTTTTCCCCAAATGAGGTTACAGTTATCCCTAGTGATAGTCATTTTGCTGCTTGCCATTCCAATCTGTTAGGCTTATCTTGAATCTTAAGTATTAGCTTTGGCAGGAGATGAGTCACTATTGCATATATGTTTAATCTTAAATGCTAAAGTACATGTGATTTTTTTCCACCATACTTGTATTGTAGAAATTCTAGTTCAAATGCATTTGATTGTTAGTTCATTTACAAAAAAGATCTATTTTTTTCTTGCTTCTGAAAGTTAGAAGAACATTCAGGAAAGGGAACTGTGGATTTGCAGGTGTTGTTTAGATGAATCTATAGACGGATGAAGGGGCTGCAATGGTGCAGTGGGTTAAACTGTTAAGCTGGAGATCTTGCTGGCCAGAAGGTTGGCGGTTCAAATCCGTGGGACAGGGTGAGCTCCCATTGTTAGACCCAATTTCTGCCAACCTAACAATTCAAAAATATGCAAAAACATGATAGTCATACCAGTAGTTTAGTTTCTTTAG